TCAGCCCAAAAATAATACAAAAAACGTGAAAATCACTAAAAATAACCTAAAATAACACAAAATATCAGTTTGCTACAAATTACGGCAGAACTGTGCGATTGACCGCGCGACAATCAACACACATACGCCAAGTCCCATCCTTCTTAGGCACAAACGCAAACTGTGTAATTCCGTGCAAATGACCTCAACTAAGCTTTTCTTGAACCTGAATGATGTTTACCATGCCTTGATAATAATCCAAGCTTCGATTTGCTTGTTGTATGTTGTTTTCAACCCAGATCTGCTCAATAAGGCCAGTTAAAACTTCACACATCTTCTTAGCTCTGTCATCTTGATTCCCATCACTATCTTAATGGAGGTCAATTGTGTGAAAGGAAAGGGTCGTTGGAAAATCCTTTTTTTCTTTCTTTTCAAAAAAGTAAGTGGTATGTTCGTATCCAGGTTTTGCCCTATGTGAAGCCATTTGAGGATTTTTGAGGGAATAATCCTTTTGTGGCACGCCTAGTGGGATCACCACTATATCTCATCCATAGTTTTTAGATCCATTTTTTCTATATCCAAAAAGAGGCATAACTATGCCACCCAAAAATAAGAACAATGAGAGGGAAGTTCAACCACCACAAGCTAAATATGTAGATGACAACCCACTTCACTTTGAGGATGAAAATGATCCTATTACTTTTCCCCCACTATCACTTTTTATAGAATAGTCATATAGAAATCAAATATTCAAGGAGAAAGATGCAGACTACGAGGGTGACTTTGTTGAGTCAAGCAATGTTATCCAGAGTTTATCTGAACATTTGGAGTTAGCATGCAAGGAGCATACCTAGACTATATAAAAACTTATAAAAACTTATTAAAAGCCAAATGAAATCTTTTAGACACCAAGCAAAGGTGATGCGGCAATAAATGACTAAGCTAAGGTGTGTTTTTGAATAAGGTACTAGAGTAACACAAGAAATTGGGGTTGAGGATTTGGGGTTGAGAGTCATAGAACTTGCAAGTTATTTCAGATTAAGTGGTTGAATAAGTGCACCAACCTGGACTAAAAGTACCATAGCCAGCGTAAGCAACGAATCTTCACAAATAGATCTAGAATCCATTAGCTTTAGCGTTTAAGGAGAAAGTCAATTAGCCACATTTGCCTCCACAGAACCAACAGGTAATTAGTGGGTTAGTGTAGCCACAACTAGTAGAGGTTGCAACACGTTTGGTAGATTTAGGAAATCAACAACAACCTAGATATATGATACCTTAGTGTAAGCTAAATGGGGAATACCAACAACATAATGCACTTCCACAAAAGGAGTACCTCCATCGTCATATATCGCCACAACAAAAAAATCTACAAGGTTTGTAAGATTAGTACATTAACTGTGATCAAATCATCGATCTGGTGTATGAGGCCTACAGTTCAATTTTGAGACCTTTAGTCAGACCAACTTATAAAAAACCATATCTAGATTACATAGATCAAGAAAATTATTTTTCGAGGTTCAAAGTGCGAAAATTCACATTGTTTTATGAAGATGGTGCTTATTCTATGATTGAACATATAGGCCACTTCACTATTTAGTATGGCGAGGCTTCTAGTGATGACAATCTGAAGGTCAGACTTTTTTCCAAGTTCTTTGACAAACACAGCTCTCACTTGGTATATGAGCTCACCAGAGAATTCAATTTATTCTTAGAGGTAGATGGAAAATCTATTCCATGTCTAGTTCTATTGCTCAGTGCCAAAGTGTCTATGGTAGATCTATCCTGATTAGTGTAAAGACTTGGGGAATCATCTAAGGCCTTTCTAGCCGAATTTCACAGGGTCAGACTTAAGTGTAGGGTTGCTCTATCAAAGTAAGAATTTGTTAAGCTGGTATAGAATGGTTTGGGTATTGAGTTGAGGAAGAAATTCAAAGCGATAGAATTTTAGGATTTTTTTAAGCTGTCTTACAAAGTTGCCCGCTATAAAAATATATTACAAGAAGATTTACAGAGGAAATCTACGTCCTATGAGACTTATTATGAGAACGTCAACTTTGATCTAGATGTGGCAGAAGTCGTGGCAAAAGTCATGGCAAAAGTCATGGCAAACAAACCTGTTGTTTGCCCATATTTGGTCAAAGTCACCCAGTAGATCGATAAGATAGTAAAACATTATGTTGACAAGGCTAGAAAGTAATATACATTTGATCCGTCTAAGACTAGTGAAAATTTTTACCACCTTAGGAAGTGTGGTCTAATTAAGTTGCCATTAGAGCATAAAATCCCAACGGCTGGCAAAATTGGAAGTAGAGAATACTGTAAGTATCATAATTCTTGAAAACATTCTACTAATGATTGCATTATTTTTCAAAATGTTTTGCAAGAGAAGATTGACAAAGGGATTTTGTGGTTTCCAAAAAGGCTAAGGAAATAATGGGAGTTGATGTAAACCCATTCCCTAACTTGTCCGTTGGAGTAAACGTGGCAGATCTCCAAAGCCTTGTCAGGGACAAAAATTGATGATACTCCAAGCATGGACTTGTAGTCATTCATGGACTTGTAGCTAATGACTTGAGGTGGGTCATTAAGGAGGCCTACCCTTCTCAACAACATCTACATTTCAACATGTCTTAGCCCAACACTTGTTTAGTTCATAGATAGCTCCTATAACAACTTTGCAACTTTTTTTTTAGTGTAGAAATGGTTCAACCTCTTCAGTAGATTCTTTGTTTTTGTTGTTTTTTTGTTAAATTAGCTCTAGCAGTTAAATTCAATATAATTGTTCTTTTTCTACCAACAAATTTTGTATTTCTGTTAGCAATTTACATTTTTGTCTAGTCGCCTAGATCCATTTTCTACTTCATTAGAAAATCTTATGTTCTAGCATTCAATTGTAATTTTTCTCTTAAGATTTCTAGTAAAGATCTTAGTTTAATTTCATTTATGTCGTCAACTAGTTCTTTACATTTCTATCAATTTTAATTTACATTTCTAATAGTACTCTTAGATTTTAATTTTAGCAATGTTTTAAGATTTCTATCATGTTCTTTAGTTTTATGTCCTTCCATTACTTTAGCCTTAAATCATCCTTTACTTTTTCCATGCATTCCTTCTCCTTCTTTTTTATTTCTACTTATATTGCTTAACAAACTAATTTCATTGTGGTCCTAAATGTGAGAAGTCCTTGATGTTCTTCCATGGCAATTATTTATGAACCTTTATGTAGGATTGCACCCCAATTTCTACTACCATAGTCTAGTTAAGGTATTATTGTTGCAATTTTTCAACCAAATGGCATTCTTCTATTGACTTTAATTTAAACAAATTCCTACGTTTCGAAGAAGTAAGGGTTGCCAGAAATCCTTCTTTCTTGTTTTGAGCAAAACAAGTGGAATGCCTAAGCAATTTCTGCCACGAGCAACCAAGAGGAGTGGATTTTGGAGGAAACAATAATATAATGTGTGTATATACCCTAAACACATTTTATAATTAAAGTAGAAGTTAGTTTATATATTTGGATAAGTTGTTCTCAACTTTAATAATATTTGGATATAGAAGTTAAATTATTATATTGTAATTGAAGTGGAATTTGATAACAATTAATTAGAAGTTTGATATAATTAGATTATTACGTATTATTATATGATGATTTTTATTTAAAAAGGAATTATATATATCATGCTTACCAAGAACTTTGAAAAGGGTATTAACTTAATTTAATCGAGAGCTTCAATTTAATGAATTCTCTTTATGAAGTTTATTGGGTATTTATTTAAAATTTTAAAAAGATTTTAAAAGATTCATTGAATATTTATTTGACATTTATTGAAGATTTTAATCATTTTTATAATGTAATAAAATATAATTGAATTCATATTTAAATATAATTGAAATAGTTAAAATCAAATTAAAGTAGATTTATGTTAAAAAAATATTATTATTGAAAACACAATATTGAAGATGTGTATGAAAATATTATTATTAAAAAAATAATTGAATTTGGATTTTTAAAAACTCATTAGATATTTTTCTAATAATTATTAAAATTTAAAAAAATCATTTATTTAAAATTTTATTAAAGATTTTAATAATTTTTATAATATAGTAAGATACTATTATTATATTTGTTAATTAACAAAACTAACAGTACAAATGAACCATAATAGCATGGTATTAAGCCTAGTTTGATCTAAAATCCTTAGATCTTATGTTTATGATATTTCAATGAAGATGTTGGAATCCACTCATCTCCTTGAATGAAATTTTGGACCGAATATAGAAAGACATGATCTGCCGAAATCTGGGAACTCCAATGCACCCTCTTAGATACATCAGATCCTGGTCCAGAATTCTGATATTCTCCATAGAAAAGTGTTTTTAATGCAAAGTCACCACTCCACGGCATCCACCCATCAGGATAAATGAGTTCCTCAAAGGTACACTGAATGAAAATTGTTCTTGAGTACTCCTTCCAAGGTCTTCCCAAGTAACTCTTGTGTACCTGAGGCTTGCTATAATAATATTTCATGTATTCCTCAGTGCCATTGACAAAACAATTTTGAAAAACAAAACCTGTCGTTTGTGCAGGGTCTATCCTGCCATGAGCAGTGATGGCATTGTTCTCACCTTTTTCAGGCTTTACTTGTCGTGGAGCAACTAAAATCACACAACCTTGGAATATTGCGGCAGAATTTCCAAAGATGAAGTCCACATTCCCCTGAATACGGCAATTTTTGTAAAATTGGCGAAGTGAGTGAGCATACAGAGTATCTTGATTGCCAATGAATTCACAGTTCTCAACGATGGAAAGATCACTATCTGATCTAAAAGCTACTGCTTGGTGGGCATCCGGACCCGCTGTGTTCTGGATTGTTAGGCCACTGGCCATAAACCCATCTCCAATAACTCCTGAAAGAGGATTGAATCACACATCAAGGTTGTAACAACAGTCCCTGCTTCACATTCCTTGAATTATTTCCAAATTCCAATCTCTGTTCTAACTCAGCCATGCATAACAAATACCATTAAAAATAACAGTGATGCAAAACAAAGAAGCAGGAGGCATTTGTAAATGATGTTCCTCGTCAATCTGTTAAAGATCATGTGTAATGAATAATGCCTAACTAATTTGAGAGAGAATATTCAAGTTCAATACCTAACCAAACTAACCCAAAAGAAAATGCGTTACCAATCTCTACTTACCCTCAAGGAGTGAGAGTGACACAGACACATAAAGCAAAAAGACTTTGGATTCCAGAAGATTATTTTAGGATAGCTAATCAAGGTAAAAAGACTCGGGATTCTACAAGATTGGTTAGTTAGAGTGGTGAGTTTCTTCTTGGGTAGGGATTACAACAACGGCAATTTTTAGTTGTTACGTAGCTTCACCTAATTAGAAACAATGTATTAAATGCATACGATGCCCATTATCCTTAACATGTGAAAACGGCAACTTTTATGAATGCCTGTGACCGAATTTCTGCGTCAACAAGCTTTACAATGATCAGTGCATTAAGAAAGAAATGTCCCAAATCCTTCGCTGCTTCAATTTATTTGCTACAACTCTTTTCACCATTTCTAGATTCCAATTAATTATGTCGAGAAATTTTCCAATGAAACCATTAGGCTACAATGATTTTTCTGTCAGCTTTTTTGCATGCTTAAATTAATTTTTTAGAAAATAAAACATAAATAGTTTTTGCAGCACAATCTACATCCAATTACAAAATCTAAACCTTCAATCCCTGCAGTTGCAATTTGATACAAACGTAAAACACCATTATTTAAAACATAATCTATTTCACATTAATTAAAAAAAATAAATAAAAGAATTATAGTTTTTATTATTAACTTACATTAATGTAATTTATACAGTTACTTACGCTAGTCATGGTAACCAGTCAATAATTCTATCTACAGTATATATTTTACCAAATCAATAATTGAATTTAATGCTACTCCATTTAGATCAAATTATTAAAAAGTGTAAATTATGGTTAGTTCATCTCGTTCTACCGTATTCCCACTCTACCACAAGGTATAAACTTAATGAACCTGTATCGAAAAGATAAAGAAAAAGAAAACTTACCTACTGTCGCTGAATTGTAGGTTGTCATCCCGAGCTGCCCCACATTTAAAGACCCCGTAATGACCGTTTTGCCTATACCATCTCCCAAAAACACCACGTTCTTTTTCTCAAACGGAACTCTAACTGTCTCCTCATAAACCCCTTCTTTTATGTGAATCACAAACCGACGTCCCATCTCGTTATCCGGCGCGGCATTAACAGCTGCCTGCACCGTCGGGTAACACCCTGCGTCCCCGCCCTTGCACACCGTAACGTCGGCCTTTAAATTTGACGGAAATCCACCGTCAAACCCCAACCTGCCTTCCCCCGCTGAGCCGCTTCCCCCGTAAAACCCGTCCCGCTCTGTTTTAGGTGGGGTCCACGAGGCCGTTTTATCCCCGAAATAATCGTACGCCATCATCATGCTCAACGCGTTGCTGCTGTACTCAATTAAGGTGTCCAAAAACGCCATCGTTTTGTCTACGAGGCTTGTGTCGTTAGCATACTTGAGCGCGCTCCAGCAATCGTACTGGTACGCGTGGGCCGCGGACATCCATGCACGTGCATCTTTGATCTTGCCACGTGCCAACGCCTCCACCGCCGATTGAATTCGCCGATCGGAGTAGGTGAGGACCTCCAAACACATATTTGCTGCGGTTGAACGGTTTTGGTTTCCCGACGAAGCGTCCAGGATGGATTTCGCCATGCCCTGCGCAGTTTTCAGGTTCTGGGTAGAAATCTCAATAGCGGAATTAGTGATCTGGATTGCGGTTGGGTTGGTAGGGAGGGAAGGTGATTGTGCGATGGATGATTCGCATAGGTCGGGAAAGCGAGTGGACATGCATGATTGATGGATCGCAGGGGAGGATGCAGAGGAGAGTGGGGCGTGATGGGGAGGAGGTTGGTGGTGACGGTGAGGGGCGGAAGAGGAAATGGGAAAGAAGAGGGAGAGAGAGAAAACGGAAAGGAGGAGGATGGACGACATTACGAGGAGGAAAAAAGTGGACCTCCAAGATGGGGAGAACGAGAGAACAGAGGATTTATTGGCGAGTTTTTTGTGCAATGATGATGGGGAAAATGTCTTCGGCATTGTGGATATTTGTAATGTAGTGGGACTAATATCTGTTAGATTTTGGGAATTGATTTTCATCTGTCAGATTTTAGGAAATAAGATCTTGAAGAGAAAAATTGAAGATAAAGTAGTTAATTTTGTAATTTTTTATTTAAAAAAGTCAATTTGGTTGATTTTTAATTAAGTGGTAAATTTTTAATTTTTATTTATAATATTAGTTTTATTTTTTTATTTAAAAATATTAATTTTTCATTTATTAAATTAATATCACCATTTAATTAATTATTAATTAAAAATATAATGTTAATATTTTTAAATAAAAAAAATTAAAAATTTACATTTTTAATTAAAATTAATAAAATTTATATTTTTAAATAAAAATTATAAAAGTAATATATTTATTTATATTTTTTTAAAAAACTTGAATAATGGAAGTGATGGGTTTTTAGATTTTTTAATATTTTATTTAAAAAATCCCTTGTCAAATTTTGTAAACACTAAACTAAGATTTGAAAAAAGAAGTTTGTATTACAATTCAAATTCAAATTGTTTATGAATCGTATAATTATTTTACAAATTTATTAAAATATTTTTAATAAAATTATTTTTATTAAAAATACTTTAATAAATATATAAAATAAATTATATTTTTAATATATAATCTATTTTTTATTTTATTTTTCTTTCTGAAAATTTGTAGTTGGTGTAAACACAGAGAAAGCCAAAGCGGAAGTCACGGGATTTTGGAATTTCAAGAATGGGAGTGGGTGGAAATTGATAGCGTGGCCATTAGCATCACGGGATCATAATTCCAAAGAAAGAGAGAAAATGTGGAGATAGAGAAGTTGTAGTGTATCACGGGTATACCAGCTGATACCTAATTAAATGAGGCCAACTCATCTTTTCCATAAAAACAGCTCTACAGAAGGAATCATTTCGGGTCCCAGAAAGTTGCTTTTTCTCCTGAACTCCCATCACCTAAGACTCACGTCTGAAAATTTTCTTGTCTCCTCCACTTCATTCTGACTTGAAAGTTTTGCTTTGAGTAATGCAATGTAAGTGTGAAGATGGCAAAACTTCTAAATTTACTTTTTAAATAAGAAGGTAAAAATAAATTTTTTTTTTAAATTATAAAATAAATTATTTTTTAAAATTATAAATTAAGATAAATTATATATTTTTTAAGTGTGACGTGAGTTTTTGTTAAAAAAATACTTACGTAATCAATGAAAAATTGATATCATAAGTCAACAAATTAATAATTTATCTTAATTTATAATTTAAATAAATAATTAACCTTTATAAATTTTTTAAAAATGGATTTATTTATGTACAGTAGATTTGATGGTTATGCCTAATGACATTAATTTTTTTTAAATTTTTTTTTAGAAGATGTGACAAGAAATGTTGAAATTGAAGGGAGGGATGTCGGTGACGTAATTTTTATTTTCATTAGTTTTTCAATAATTCCAAAATTTCCTCGCCCTTCTTGATCTTGTAGGGATTAGGCCCAACACCCACTTCAAACCACATGCATGAGGCCCAACTATGCATCAACAGGTTCAAGAAGAAGAGATATACCCACATGAGCAGTACTCTATGGACCAATGAGATGTTTACATGTACAGATGCATGTCAGCACTTGAAACTATAAATACCTCTAATTACCTTCGATGAAGATAATTAATCTTTACGCTTCTTTATCTGCAATTACTTTTTTGAGAGTATCTCTCTCTAGAATATCAAGTATTGTTGACTTGAACATCGAAGTGTTTTTTTTGAAAAAATATCCTCGAGATTTTCAAATGTATAAGCAGTTGAGGACTTCAACAATGTTGGATTACGAAGCTGCCCAAACAATCCCAAATTGCAGAATCCATCAATGTGAAACAAATTCAGGAATTTGACAGTTAAAAGGGAACAAGTTACAAGTTTGGGATCCGATGGAGGTAAGCTTCTTAGGGAGGTGAGTGTGTTTCGATTGCCATTCTTGTTTTTAGAGACGAAGTAGTGGGCGGAGGAGGGAAGGGAAGATTTGATGATTGCAGAAGAGAATATATCGAAGGGGAGGCAACAAGTGAGAAAGGAAGAGCAGAGAGACTCCTTTAGACTTTATCCGTTAGTTAACGTGTGATGAGATATTTTCAATGAATTTAATGAAATGATATGGTCTAATTTAATGAGTTGTTATTATTTGATTGGTTAGGGAACCATCTCAATTTTTTTTTTTAAAACAATTTGTAATTATTTACAGAGTTAATTAGGGGAGGAGGAAAATGAGTTTTGTGAGACTTGAGGAGGAGGAAAATGAGTTCTGTGAGACTTGAACGTGCAACTCACGGAGATGAACAGTTCTAACTTAAGATCCGATACCACTGGACCGAAGCGGGCCGTTCACCATCTCAATTAATATACCTGTGATATACTAAAATTTCTCATGTGGAGATAGAACTAAATTGATATAAGTATAAATGTTGTATAATATTATAAATTTATAATATAATATATTATTATATAATTATTATTTATTTATAAGTTTATTCATAATATTATTTATATTTATTTATTTGATAACATATTATATTTATTTAATGATACTTTATTATTATAAATCTACAATATGTCATAAATAAAATATCAACATTGTTAAAATATACATAAAAACTTTATTTGACAATTTTTTTTTATATAATTTTTAACTAAGTGGATGTATATAATGTTATGACTTTCCAAAATAAAATAAGTAAATTATTAAATGATGTGTAAGGTTGTATCAAAAATTGTATATAAAATTATCCATTAATTATTTTTTATTTAAATATATAATTTTGTTTCATTTGAAAATAAAATTGTTAAAATATCTTAATTTTAAAAATAAAAATAACAATTAACAACCTTTGAAACTTAAAAAAATTTATATACTTAAATAAAAAAAGAGCAAAATTAACATTTTTATTGAAAATGGTATAATTAGTGTTGTCGTTATATAATTAACTCTTTTACTCAATTTATAATATTATATATCTATTAGTTTAATATCACATTTTATTTTTATGTGATATTTATTTTTGAATATTTTACTATGGAGTTGGCTCAAACTGTTGCTTTTGGGGAGGGGTGTACGAACCTTATAAGAGTGATCAAAGCCACTTGACCTACAAGATCAGGTTCATTTTCATGTGACATTATAATTATAGTATTATTGTAAATTTATATACTTAAAAAAAAAAAAAGCAAAATCAACATTTTTATTGAAAATGGTATAGTTAGCATAATTATTATATAATTAACTCTTTGACTTAATTTATAATATTATATATCTATTAATTTAATATTATATTATATTTTCATGTGATATTATAATTATAGTATTGTTATACTTCTATTTACACCTTTTCTCCAAATAAATACACCAATCTAAGGTTTGTAATTTCGAGGGCGACTTGATTTTTGGGGAACAAGTGAGCATGGAAAAGAAGCTCCGGAGTGAGTAATTTGTTACTGGCATACTCGTGGACACATAATAAAGTGTGAGGATACACAAATCTTTAAATATTAACTTTTAAAATATTAATTTTATTTGATTTAATTTTTTTAAAAATCTATCAATTATAGCTATTAATTGATAAGTGAGATATGATCATTCGGTGAAAATGTTTATTTATGTATCCGTCTACTTTTAATAATTATTAATATAAACTCTTACGGTTTTTTTTTTTTAAATAAATTTTCCCTCGTACTTCCATATTGAAAGAAATTATCCCTCTAATATTTTTGTGGAAATAAATTAGCTAGAAATTAGCAGATAACGTAGTCATACATCATTATTTTGTCTTTCCCTTTCAATACCTGTTAAGCTCTTACTTGTTTGCCAATCTTAGGCCTCTTTTTCTGATGACATAATATTCTTTTTCTTGATATCAAATTAGTTTATTGAGAAAAAGTTAACCAATCTCATTTACTGGTCTTTGTCCACGTAGCTTGAGAATACTAAATAAAAAAGGACCGGTCATTTTAGCAAGATTTTTATCACTCAAAAAGACTTTTGATCCATATTAGCATTTATGTGAAAAGTGAGACCAAGGAATGAAAAATCAAACGATGTCAGGTTATATGGGTTGAGCTGTTAATAATCATGACTAATTTGCATCTTTCAAGGGGTTTAAGGGTTAATTTTCATCATTTGAGAGGTTTGAAGACTTATTTGCATCATTTTTAATTATAATGAATATTTATATGAGATTAGCATGTATTAACTAAACATATGAAAAATTATGATGAAAAACACCTAAAATTATATTATTTCAATAAAATATTACACGAAAAGACTAAAAGGTATCCTTTTTGCCTTTAAAATATGTTATTTTAGTTTTTATTAATAAGAGTTTATTGAAATAATATAATTTTAAGATATTTTTTCTTAATTTTTTAAAGGCACTGTTGAGAAACAATTTTCCATATATATAATAATGTAAACCAGTCTTAATTTTTATTAAAAAAATTAGAATTACAACTTTAAAAACACCACATTTTAATAAAATATTTTCAAAAACTAACAGTTAATTTAATGTTCTATTTATTTAGATTATATATGTCAATTTTCAAATTAATGAATTATATTTAGTTGGTAATGTTATAGTTATAATATTGCATAAAATTATAAATTTACGATCTTGATGTGGCCTTAAATGAATGTAACTTGTTATTAAATTAATAAATACATACAGTATTACAAATAAATCATTAAGTAAAAAGAGTTAATTATATAATATTATATTTTTTTGTAAACTTATAATACTATGTAATATTGTAATTATATCATTTTTAATATATAATTAGTTCATTGGTTATACAAAATTTAATACTATTAAATATATTAATTAATATAAGTATTTTGATGAAATAGTTGTTAATGTTAGATTAACTTAAAATTAATATGTATAATTTATACTAATAAAATATTAAAATTAAATTCAACTATTAATTTTTTAAAATATATATTTTTTAAACAAATTATCAAGGAACGAACTCCAAGCTCGCCAATTGAAAAGAAAGAATGTACTTTAAGCTGATAGGTTATACCTGAAAGGTCATGTGCAATTTTTTAAAATATTTATTAGTGATGTTAAAGTTAACATTTTAAATTTTTTTTATAAAAGTTATAACTAATGTGCATTAT